AATAAATATGTCCGGGCATGGTGGCTCACACCTTTAATCCCAGCACTTTGGGAGGCCAAGGCAGGCGGATCACGAGGTCGGGAATTCAAGACCAGCCTGGCCAGTATAGTGAAACCCCATCTCTATTAAAAATACAAAAAACCGTAGTGCATGCCTATAGTCCCAGCTATTTGGGAGGCTGAGGCAGAAGAATCGCTTGAACCCAGGAGGTGGAGGTTGCAGTGAGCTGAGACCACACCACTGCACTCCAGCCTGGGCGATAGAGCAAACCTCTGTCTCAAAAAATTAATTAATTAATTAATTAAAAATAAATAAATATATATATAAAAGTCCAGGCACGGTAGCTCACACCTGTAATCCCAGCACTTAGGAAGGCCAGGGTGGGTGGATCACCTAAGGTCAAGAGTTCAAGACCGGCCTGCCAACATGATGAAACCCTGTCTGTACCAAAAATACAAAAATTAGCTGGGCATGGTGGCACGCGCCTGTGATCCTAGCTACTTGGGAGGCTGAGGCAGGAGAATCGCTTGAACCCAGGAGGCAGAGGTTACAGTGAGCCGAGATCGCGCCACTACCCTCCAATGTGGACGACTGAGTGAGACTCCATCTCAAAAATAAAATAAAACAAAATAAAAATAAAGCAAAACAAAACAAAACAATAAACAGCCCATTGGTAGCAATCTTTGGGCAGACAATCTTGCAGTTTTCTGTGATAGTCTAATTTGGCTTGCCATAGTTCCCTGTATCTACCTAATGATCTTGGCCTAATTGGGAACTGGTAAATGCTTAGACTATATGTGTTTCTCTACATTTGAGATCCCCTGTCACCCTCCAGCTGTGCCTCCCCCTTTTTAAGTTACATCAATGAGATGTAATTGGCACCTATCCTCAATCTTAGTATCCTAACATTCACTTATTCTGTTTTCCTGCCTTTTGATTTAGAAAGACCTAAATGCTTTTAGATCTAAAGATAGAAGAGGAAGGTTAAAACAATAATTTGCAATATGCACTCCTTCAGCTGTTAATTCATTTATGCAATGGGCTTTATTTAGTGCCTGCTGTATACCTAGTACTCTGCTAGGTGCTTGGGACTCAAAGATAGGGACTGGGCTCTGTTTCTCACACCTGTATTCCCAACATTTCAGAAGGCCAAGGACTTTGAGACCAACCTGAGTAACATGGAGAGACCCTGTGTCTACAAAAAAAAAAAAATAGCCAGGACCGGGCACAGTGGTTCATGCCTGTCATCCCAGCATTTTGGGAGGCCAAGGTGGGAAGATCACTTGAGCCCACCACGAGTTTGAGACCAGCCTGGGCAACATGGAGAGACCTTGTCTCTACAAAAAATAAAAATAAATTAGCCGGGGCTGGGCACGGTGGCTCATGCCTGTAATCCCAGCACATTGGGAGGCCGAAGTGGGCGGATCACAAGGTCAAGAGATCAAGACCATCCTGGCCAACATGGTGAAACCCCATCTCCACTAAAAATACAAAAATTAGCTGGGCGTGGTGGCGCACACCTGTAGTCACAGCTGTTTGGGAGGCTGAGGCAGGGGAATCACTTGAACCCAGGAGGCAGAGGTTGCAGTGAGCCAAGATCATGCCACTGCACTCCAGCCTGGTGAGAGAGGGAGACTCCGCCTCGAAAAATAAATAAATAGATAAATAAATAAATAAGCCAGGCATGGTGCCTCTCACCTGTAGTCCTAGCTTCCCAGGAAGCTGAGGTGGGAGGATGGCTTCAGCCCCAGAAAGTCAAGGCTGCTGTAAGCCGTGATCATGCCACTGCACTGCACTCCAGCCTGGGTAATACAGCAATACCCTGTCTCAGGGAAAAAAAAAATAGAGTCCTTGCCTTTAAGGTGTACAGTGCAGTGGGACAAGCAGATTCCATTGGAGAACCACAGTTGTGATTGCAGTAATTAATATACAGAATATTACAGGATTACAGAAAAGAGGTACTACCCCTATCCTAGAGGGGATGGAGGAAGGGCATAAAGTATATTAATGACAATCTGTAATTCAGTTGGTTAAATTGAGCATGGGAGAGGGTGTTCAGGGCTTTTCAACTGGATGACTTTGTAATTTGGAATAAAACACCCAATAGCTTGGCCGGATACCGTGGCTCACACCTGTAATTCCAGCACTTTGGGAGGCCGAGGCGGACAGATCACTTGAGGTCAGGAGTTCAAGACCAGCCTGGCCAACATGGTGAAACCCTGTCTCTATCAAAAATACAAAATTACCCGGGCATGGTGGTGCATGGCTGTAGTCCCAACTACTCGGGAGGCTGAGGCATGAGAATTGCTTGAACCTGGGAGGTGGAGGTTGCAGTGAGCTCAGATCTTGCCACTGCACTCCAACCTGGGCAACAGAGCGAGACCCTGTCTCAAAAAAACAAAAGCAATAACAATAAAAACCCAATAACTGTAAAGTAAAATATGTCAACTTGTGACTAAGGATTCATGTGGAAGAAGAAAAGGGTCTAATATCATAAGTGAACATCAAGGTTGTGGGGTTAGAGCTAGAAGATGTAGGTTTTATTTTAAAATTTCTTTTTTTTTTATGTCCTTCCCTGCCTATATCACAGAAAATCAAATATAAGAAATGAAGTGCCTGCAAGTGATGGTTTTTAAACTCTTGTCTCTGACACAGCCTCTGTTAAACTTGGGAATAAATAAAGGTACCATCACCAGACTAGGGGAAGATTAACATTGTTTGAGGTTAGGATTTAAAAAAAACAAAGCAAGGCCAGGTGCGGTGGCTCACGCCCGTAATCCCAGCACTTTGGGAGGCCAAGGCGGGCGGATCACCTGAGGTCAGGAGTTCAAGACCAGCCTGACTAACACGGTGAAACCCCATCTCTACTAAAAATAAAGAATTAGGTGTGTTAGCGCGTGCCTGTATTCCCAGCTACTCGGGAGGATGAGGCAGGAGAATCAATTGAACTGGGAGGCGGAGGTTGCAGTGAGCCGAGATCGTGCAACTGCACTCCAGCCTGGGCAACAAGAGCGAAACTCTGTCTCAAACAATAACAACAACAAAAAAACAAATTTCGCTAGATTTGCAATCACTGCCTTCATATACGATCAAAATATGAAGAAAAACTCAAGGTTAACTGCACTTGAGGTTTTCTAAATTGTGGGATTGAGGGGGTCTATGTAATTTTAAACCTGAAAAAAAAGTTTAATCTTTACAACCCCGTGGTCCCCTCCCCTTTATAGCTGAGAGAATTGAAGCATGGAGGTTTAAAAACTTGCCCAAGATCATACAGCTAGTAAGTAGCAGAGCTGGGATTTGTACCCAAGTCTATTCAATTCCAGTGCCTATTACTCACCATATCATCCTGTCAAAATAGAAACCTTGTGTGGGCCCACTGCTCTCAAGATGTCCTGTGGCCATAAATGCACCCTGGCAGGAGCAAGCTGGTATACCCTGGCAGGAGCAAGCTGGTATAGACAACCAGTAAAGTGGCTGGCCGTGCCAGTACAAAGCCAACACTGATCCTGGAAAATACTGATAGTGCCATATTCAACTAATCATCAAATTTTAATATCACGGATGCCATTGAAAGTATCTTAATCATTCTCATGCATATTTTGTAATATGAGACATTGAGAAGATAAGATAGTATTGAAATACATATCTAGATTTAAATGAAATAAAATTTGAGTGATTAGTAGAGGGAAGCAGAGGATAGTAAATATGTGTGAAAATACCATAAAAGTTAACTTTAGATATATTCTCTTTAAACACTGCGTGTGCAGTATACCAATTTATATCCTCTTTAATATTATAGTCTTTTTCATGTGCATGTGTGATATATTGTCCATTCACCGAGACTATAAATCCCTGAGACCAATAGTATATTTTCTTTTAAAAAAGAAATCAACATGAAAACAGGAAAGGTTATCTAAGCTTACTCTCAAGTAGTTTAATACATTTGAGGAAATAAATTAGGTTATGGATGCTTATAAGCAATACAGAAAATCAAATTAACACGACGTAGGTGATTTATTCCAACTTTGATCTGTTACATTTGGAGGAATTGGCTGTTGGATTTAGAAGTGCACAAAATACCATTAGAGAGTGAAAAAAAGGGAAGTCTGTTATAACCGAATAGGGGCGTGGTCTGCTCAGGCTAAAAGGAATAGATAGTAGTTTCATAAAGGACTGATATAACTGTAGAGTCTTCAGAACTGGCCACTACAGCCCGCACATTTTCTCTACAGACGTAAGTATGTCTATTAATACCAGTCAGCTTGGTGAGTTACAGAAACCATAGCCTGTGGATTTGGGCACATGCACTCTCTGCCTGCATCTAATCCTTCGGGTAACCATATACCTACAACTCCTGTAATCCTAGAGCGGTTACATGGATGCACTAAGTGGTGTGATGGGAGGGAAAGATAGCATCACAAGGATTCGTTTGATTATAACAGTAATCCACACCAAGCCAAATAAAACAGCCAAACAGTTTAGAATGTGGTCTCCAATGAATTTGCTAATTCTACCAGGGCCTCCCAAACATTTCCTGCTAGAGTACCCCATATCAAAACGAAGTGGCTGTTCTTTAATTACATGGAATAATTATTTGATTTCCAGGAAGTTAAGACAGTGCTTTGTATTTAAATAAAAAGTTCCAGACATGCTGTGAAACTCGATCAAACCAAGAAAAAGGGTGAAACTGAATGCCTGCTCAGTGACTCAAGATTTCAGCTGCTCAGCGAGCCTGACGTGACGGCTTATGAGCCCAGAAAAGGGGCATTTTAAACCCGGCTGGTTAGATCATGTCACTTTCTTACAGAAGCCCTGCCTTTCCAGAGACCTAAAGTGTAACGCACTCAGAGACCTTTGAGGGGCTAGAGGCTCGGCGGCTTCCGCCCCTCGGCACCAGCAGAGACCCCCGTTTTCAGGGGACATGACCCCATAGTGTCCCCCTCACTTTTTAAGGGCCATTAAAAGCCCGGGGCCTCTTATCTCAACGGCTTTGGGCGTGAATGTGGGGCAAGAGGGGGGGGGGAGACCTGTGGGTGTCTCTTTTGCCTGAGGAGTTGGAGACACTTGTGGAAAAGTCAGGCCCTTTTCGCTCCGGCGGCCGCTCCGGTGTGGGGCTGGCTTGGGTTAGACACATGCACACATACACCATAGAGCTCTGCTTTCCCGTAGCAGCTGCTGCCTCTGCCTCTGCCTCTCCCGCCTCAGCCTCTTTGCCCGGCATACACACACATTCAGATTTGCGCGCTGTTTCAATCCTTGATGACGTGTCCCCGGAGACAGCCAATAGCAAACGGGCTCTGGTCAGGACAATGGGAGGTATCGGGCCAATGAGCGAGCCCCGTGAGTTGGCGGTAGCCAATAGGAGCCGCGCTGGCTGGAGAGTAATGTTACAGAGCGGAGAGAGTGAGGAGGCTGCGTCTGGCTCCCGCTCTCACAGCCATTGCAGTACATTGAGCTCCATAGAGACAGCGCCGGGGCAAGTGAGAGCCGGACGGGCACTGGGCGACTCTGTGCCTCGCTGAGGGTGAGTCTGGGGCAGCGCCGCGGCGGGGAGAGCGCCTCCGGCAGCTCCCCAGCCCGCGCGGCGGCCGGATCCCCGCGGCCGGGAGCCGGCGGGTCAGGATCCACACAAAGGCAAATGAGGGGGGACCGTGGGGGGAACTGCGCACGGAGCGAGCCTCTGCCCGGGCGCCGGGAACGCTGCCCCGCGCCGGAGCCCCGGCCCTCAGGCAGCCTGAGGCGCCGGGAGCCCCGCGCCCCGCGAGTTTCCACCCCCGGCGGCGTCCGCGCTGACTGGCGCAAAAAAAAAAAAAAAAAAATTTTTTTAATTAAGAATTGCAGACGTGTTGGGCCCTCGGGCCGGGCGTTCGGGCAGGCGGCGTCGCGGAGGCGCGGCCGGGGCAACCCAGAGGCCAGCGCGGCTCGGCGGCGGGAAGGGCGGCGGCGCTTTGGGCTGCGTTGGCCGCCGCCGCAGCGAAGCGAGCGCCAGCGGGAAGCGCGGCCGGCCGGGCAGGCGGCGGGGCGGGCGGGAGCGCCGCGGCCGAGCGAGGCAGCGCAGGGGCCAGGGAGGCGGCAGTGCAGGCCAGCCGGCCTCGGCCAGGCGGCGGCGGCGGCGGCCGGGCGGCAGGGGAGCGGCGCCGCTGCGCTCGGCTGGAACATAGCTGACTCGGGCCCGGCGCGCTGCTGGCTGGAAGAAAACAAGGCGGAGCGGGCGAGGAGCTGGGCGCAGCCAGTTCGAGGCAACTTTTTTCCTCTCTCTTTTCACAGCCCGCGTTCCCGTGCAGGGAGCGGGCGCGCAGCCCCTTATGGAGAGACAGGGAGTGGCAGGCGGGTGGGCCCTCAGGTAGCCCCCACCGCGGCGGGGAGGAGCCAGCGCGGAGGAGGGCCCGGCCGCGCGCCCCCGCCCCTCCCCCGGCCGTAATGGCCGAGTGTGTGCGCCAGGCGCGCAGCGCGCACCCGCCCCGCCGCCGCCACCGCGCCACGCCACGCACTCCACCTCCACCACCGCCACACACACACACACACACAAGGGAGGAGCCATATTCTCGCTCGCGCTCGCCCTCGCGGCGGCAGCGGCGCGGCGCAAAGAGGCGGGAAGACGCGCAGCGCCATTCCGTGCGCGCGCCGGCCCCGGCGGCGCCCAGGCGGAGCCAGCCCCATTTCGAGCGGGGCTTCTCCTGCGCGAGCCCTGACAAAATGGGGGCGGCGGCGCGGGCCTGCAGGAGCCTGCCGGGCCTGCCGGGTGCCTGTGGCGGCCTCGGGCCTGGGCGGGCCGCGTCCTCGCGTCGGCCGCGCGGCCTCCGGTGAAGTTCTGGGGCAGGGGGCTCGCCCACTCAGTGTTGCCCCAGCTTTCACGGCTCCAAAAATACTCCCCGAGTTGGGAGAGCACAAACCCCGAGCAGGAGTGGCTTTGTCCTCATCCTTGTTTACTCGGAGAAACTTCAGACCGGACGTGTTTAGTCAGAACAAGAAATACATCCTCAGAGGCCAAACCGATAGGAAACAGGAGCTGCCTCGCAGTGCGCACCGCCACCCTCAGCCGGGTTCGAGCACCGGGCTAGCTGCAGCTCCCTCTTCAGACAAAGTTTTATGCAGAGGGTGTTTTTGAAAACTTTCGGTGCACGGTGATTTTTTGTTTAAAGGTCCATAATTGGAAGAGAGTCGACTCGCTTAGGCCCTTGTTTGTTCCTACCTATTAGTGCAAAATCCACGAATTGGCAGCATGTTTTCTGACCTTTGGTTTGGTTGGTTTAAAAGGGTGTTCTAGATTTTAAAATCGTTTGAGTGACCAGTTACTCCTTCAGAGCAGACTCAGGCGGATAGATAGGGAATACTGTACGGGTATATCTTTGTGTCTAGACTGTAAGATCGCCCTGAAGGACCGTTTTTGTTTGTTTTTACTTGGCATAGCCCCTTCAAGAGAATTTAATTTCTCAGCCATATTCTTGTCTGATTTCCACGGGGAGTTAATGTCACTGCTGTGTTGCGTCGCCAGTACCGTGGTTTCGTTCCCTTCCTAAGTACTTTAAGCTCTTATGTGTTACTTAATTGTGTGCAACATCAAATAATTTATTTTTTTGAAAAATAACTAAACATAGAGCAAAGGAGATCTAAGAAGCCGAGAGGCAAAATGTCATCATATGCATTTTTGTGTACAAACTTATCCCGGGAGGAGCATAAGAAGAAGCACCAGATGCTTCAGTCAACTTCTCAAGTTTCTAAGAAGTGCTCAGAGAGGTGGAAGGTAAGAGGGCTTAAAACATGCTAACAAAGGTAATTTAAAAGACAATTTCCAATTGAGGATGCAAAAAAAGCCTGAGTTGGGGCTCTCGCATGGTATCACGCTATTACATAGCAAAGACATTAGTTTGAGAATAATTTACTTAAATTTACAACCAAACTTACAAATAATTATTTGTAGACCATGTGCTGAAAGAAGGATTGAAGATATAGCAAAGCGGACAAGACCCGTTTCTGAAAAGAAATGAAAACCTATATCCCTCCCAAAGGGAGACAAAAAAGTTCAAGGATCCCAATGCAAGAGGCCTCCGTGAGTATCTTGCCTGTTTTTACTTCCCAGACACGGTTTACAGTAGAATCTGAGAGAAATTTAGCAAGCTACTTTGTCAGTTTAGAGTGTAAGTGTACAAAGTTTCTTAGCTAATGCGTGTTCATCTTTTAGTTATATTTAAATACTATAAAATTCCTGTTGGGTGGGAGTGTTACCCAGAACATTTGAATTAGACAGCCCACTTGGTCTCCTTTGCCCAGTGTATTTCCTTTGGTCCTTTTATTTCTTAAAAAATGCTATCTCTCTGGGAAATAGTGTAATTGTAGAATGTTCATCTGGGGGCTCTAGTTAGTATAAATTAAATAGTTTGTAAATTAAGCTTTGGTTGTGAAGGATATTGGCATGTTATAGTATTTGCACCCTGTCAGTGCATCACAGAATTCACAGGCAGCTTTAAATAGCAATGCAGTGTACACTTGATACTATTTGTTTTTGTGGTTTGTTAACTTAAAATCCTAAATTTAATTTTTTTTTTTTTTTTTTTTTTTTTTTTTTTTAGTTCGGCCTTCTTCCTGTTCTGCTCTGGTATACGCCCAAAAATCAATTCTGCTCTGAGTATCGCCCAAAAATCAAAGGAGAACATCCTGGCCTGTCCATTGGTGATGTTGCGAAGAAACTGGGAGAGATGTGGAATAACACTGCTGCAGATGACAAGCAGCCTTATGAAAAGAAGGCTGCGAAGCTGAAGGAAAAATACGAAAAGGTAAGAAGTGTGGGTTTGCTTGGCAAAATGATGACGAGTACGCCAGATGTTGTATGATTGTACTTAGTTTGAGGTGTAATAAGTTTTTAGTGTAACAGCTACATTAAGCATGCTGTTGATATAAGTCTTTTCTCATCCTTCAGAGAATACAGAGGACCAAATAAATTGGTTTTTTTGACTAAGTATAATTAAGACTCAGACAAAGGCTGTGTACATTTAAGTTGGTTTTGTTATTCCCCAGTATCTTGAAGTTGATGAAAATGTTGATAGTCACTTCAGGTCAAAAATGAGTATTTTCAAATGGCTTGGCATACAGTACAGAAATAAGCTAGACAAAGTAATATAGGCTATGTTTTTCTTAATCATATCCTGAAACATTTAGGTTCCTTTCCTTTAGATATTCAAAAAACCACAGCATCACTAAGTTGAATTTCAAGTCTGCTGCTCTGTCCAATAAATTAATAAGATTAAGGAAATCTATAACTCTTATAGTTAAGTAAATTGAAATATTAAATACTTAATTTTCAGCTTCTTTAGTCATTCTGAAAAGTGTTTATTTCTAGATGTTTCGTAACCACCTAATTGCATGGTTATTGACAAATTAACTTTTTTTTCCCTAAGACAACATGTTCTACTAAGGATTAGGGTCTGACAGTGTAAACCTGTAAAGTGCTTTTTTGCATTCAGAAGGTGGCAGTGTCTACCCTTTAATCATCTCTACATTCTGGTTTTAATAGAGTTAGGATGTGGTACATAATTGCACCTCAATGAGGCATAACTTTGCAAATATTAGACTATGCCATTTCATGAGTTATAGATTGTTATAATGATCTCATATTTTTATGTTCATTTATTGAAGTTCTACTTATTTCTGGAGTTGCAGTGGATCTACAGATACGTGATATTTTGGTATAACTAGAATCTTGATTTCTTTCATAAACTTCTGCCATGTTCTATTTCTTCCCTTAATGTTTTTTTCTTCCCTACTGTTTTGTCCTCCCTTTGCTTTGGAAGGATATTGCTGCATATCGAGCTAAAGGAAAGCCTGACGCAGCAAAAAAGGGAGTTGTCAAGGCTGAAAAAAGCAAGAAAAAGAAGGAAGAGGAGGAAGATGAGGAAGATGAAGAGGATGAGGAGGAGGAGGAAGATGAAGAAGATGAAGATGAAGAAGAAGATGATGATGATGAATAAGTTGGTTCTAGCGCAGTTTTTTTTCTTGTCTATAAAGCATTTAACCCCCCTGTACACAACTCACTCCTTTTAAAGAAAAAAATTGAAATGTAAGGCTGTGTAAGATTTGTTTTTAAACTGTACAGTGTCTTTTTTTGTATAGTTAACACACTACCGAATGTGTCTTTAGATAGCCCTGTCCTGGTGGTATTTTCAATAGCCACTAACCTTGCCTGGTACAGTATGGGGGTTGTAAATTGGCATGGAAATTTAAAGCAGGTTCTTGTTGGTGCACAGCACAAATTAGTTATATATGGGGATGGTAGTTTTTTCATCTTCAGTTGTCTCTGATGCAGCTTATACGAAATAATTGTTGTTCTGTTAACTGAATACCACTCTGTAATTGCAAAAAAAAAAAAAAAAAAGTTGCAGCTGTTTTGTTGACATTCTGAATGCTTCTAAGTAAATACAATTTTTTTTATTAGTATTGTTGTCCTTTTCATAGGTCTGAAATTTTTCTTCTTGAGGGGAAGCTAGTCTTTTGCTTTTGCCCATTTTGAATCACATGAATTATTACAGTGTTTATCCTTTCATATAGTTAGCTAATAAAAAGCTTGTCTACACACCCTGCATACCATAATGGGGGTAAAGTTAAGTTGAGATAGTTTTCATCCATAACTGAACATCGAAAATCTTGATCAGTTAAGAAATTTCACATAGCCCACTTACATTTACAAACTGAAGAGTAATCAGTCTACTCAAAGCATGGGATTATTAGAATCAAACATTTTGAAAGTCTGTCCTTGAAGGACTAATAGAAAAGTATGTTCTAACCTTTACATGAGGACTCTATTCTTTAACTCCCATTACCATGTAATGGCAGTTATATTTTGCAGTTCCCACATTAAAGAAGACCTGAGAATGTATCCCCAAAAGCGTGAGCTTAAAATACAAGACGGCCATATTAAATTTTTTGTTGACATTAGTCTCAGTGAAGACTATGAAAATGCTGGCTATAGATGTCTTTTCCCATTTATCTCAATATGGACTGCTCAGGAAACGAGACTTTCCATTACAAGTATTTTTAATTAATTGGGCCAGCTTTTAAAATGAAGATGCCACATTCAAAATAGGGTATATATTTTCCTATATTATGGTTTGCCCCTTTATAAATCGAAGTAGATAGGAGGAAAGAAGACACTTAAACTTTGCATCTCAGTATGAATTATTCAATTTATTTGAATGATTTTTCTTTACAAAACAAACTCATTAGTCATTATCTGCTTAGCAGTTTAGGGAACAATTTGGCAATTTTGTGGTTTTCGAGATTATCGTTTTCTTAAAGTGCCAGTATTTTAAAATAGCGTTCTTGTAATTTTACACGCTTTTGTGATGGAGTGCTGTTTTGTTATATAATTTTGACTTGGATTCTTTCCATTTGCATTTGTTTATGTAATTTCAGGAGGAATACTGAACATCTGAGTCCTGGATGATACTAATAAACTAATAATTGCAGAGGTTTTAAATATTAGTTAAATGGCTTTCACTTAAGAATTTAAGATTTTGTTACATATTTTTAAATCTTGTTTCTAATAATATCTCTTAGTACCTTTTAAATAAGTATAAGGGATGGCAAAGTTTCCCTTTAAAAATACTCACTTTATGCTTATAAATAGGTTAATGGGCTGATAAAAGGTTTTGTCAAACATTGCAAGTACTCTCGGTGCTATATGTAAATGAGGAAAAACTAGTTTTACTTTCAGAATGATTTAAACAAGATTTCTAAAAAGATACATGCAAGTGAAAAGCAGGGTTAGTGATAGGCTGCAATTGTGTCAACATCAGATTTTTTGTTAATGGAAGTTTCTACTATATAGAAATAACCATTGTCAACAGTAGTAATTCTGATCGGTTTAAAATGAATTCTGGCTCAAGGAGACTGTAACTTTAGTAGGTATGTCATGACAGCTACCATTTTTTTAAGATGTTGAGAATGGGAACAGTTTTTTAGGGTTTATTCTTGACCACAGATCTTAAGAAAATGGACAAAAACCCTCTTCAATCTGAAGATTAGCGTAGTTTGGTTTGGTGTTCCAACAGTATCCCCTAGAAGTTGGGTGTCTAAAACTCAAGTAAATGGAAATGGGAGGCAATTTGGATAATTAAGCGTAAAACCTTGTAACTGAAGATGATTTTTTTTAGAAAGTGTTATAGAAACTATTTTAATGCCAAGATAGTTACAGTGCTGTGGGGTTTAAAGACTTTGTTGACATTAAGAAAAGACTAAACAATCTCTAATTAATTGGGCCAACTTTTAAAATGAAGATGTTTTTTAAAACGAATGAACTAAGATGTATAAATCTTAGGGGTTTTTTTTGCATTTTAAAGAGGCATATGGCATATTGATTAACGAGTCAAATTTCCTAACTTTGCTGTGCAAAGGTTGAGAGCTATTGCTGATTAGTTATCATTAGTTCTGATGATCGTCCCATCACAGTGTTGTTAATGTTTGCTGTATTTATTAATTTTCTTAAAGTGAAATCTGAAAAATGAAATTTGTGTGTCCTGTGTACCCCAGGAGTAATGGTTAAATGATAAAGATAGGGAAAGCGCCCATGTGACACAAGCCCATTCAACAGGTATTTCCCTTACTAAAGGAAATGTAACCATTGCTCAGACATTGTAGGATTTAACTGTTGAAAATCACAGGAGAGACAACAGTGGTTTTTGAATGAAATACATGGGCACTACCTTGCTTGACATCACATAGCCCTTGATGAAAGTTCACATTTAGTTCTGCCTGGTACAGTATGCCTCCTGAAAGGGTTCTTGATGAAAGTTCACATTTAAGTCTGCTTGGTACAACACACCTCCTGAAAGGGTCTGATAGCTTTCAGTACCAGTAAGATACTTGAATATGATGGTAAGGTATCTGCAAATTTGCACACACTGTACACAGCTTAAGTCTTAGAATTAACTTGCTAAAGTGATTAGGCTCTTTTATTAGAGAGTGTGATATTTGAATTTCATATTTGTGCTTTGTGTCACTTTCAAATGGCCCTTGAAATGCCTTTTAAAACTAGATCAAAGCCAGAAAGTGATTTCATTGGCTATCCAGCAAAAGATGGAAGGTGGTTCGTTTTCTTGTCCTCTTTTAATACCAAGGCAGTGCTAACACTTGCCATAACTTGGGAAATTCCCTGGGTCTATGCCACGTTGCTCCCAGATGAATGAGGCAAAATGTTGCTGTGTTCTAGAATTGCTTGTTTCACAATCCATCATGAAGGAAATGCCATACAACATGAATGACAAAAACATAATATGCCACACTCCAGAATATGTAATGCTCGTCTTCCAGGGGGTTTCAGTCTAAGACATACTCTCTACCAGGAAGAAATGTTAGATGTCTTTAGGCATGTCACTTAGTTTGGACCTTCTAATTAGTTGAATTTTTACTTACTTATTTTGACATGAGAGATTACATAGAATTTCTGTGTTGCCCAGGTTGGTCTCCGAATCTGCTCAAATAATCCTTCCACGTCAGCTTCTCAAGTAGCTGGGATTACAGGGACACACCACTGTGCCTAGTTTAAATAGTTGAATTTATTGGGCATCCACTGAAAAGGAAGTAGGAATAAAATCTGCAATAATATGAATAAACCTGTAAGTGAGCATGAGCAATGGTGGGCAAAGGTATGCACACGCTGGAATCCAGAAATAGAAAATCAGTGGAAAGCCAGGCACAGTGGCTCACACTTATAATCCCAGCACTTTGGGAGGCCAAGGTGGGAGGATCAGTTGAGGCCAGGAGTTTGACACTAGCCTGGGCAACATGGTGAGACCTTGTCTACTAAAAATACATAATTTTGTGAATATACTAAATACCATTTTAAAAAGTGGAAAAGGGATTAATTATGTCACATAATTCAGTCCCGTGACATTCCACAGTATGGTGCTCCATAATATATATTTTTTCTTTTTTCGATCTCACTTGTATATGATCCGTAATACTTTTTCTCATTCCCTTACTGATGGACATTTAGATTGTTTCCTATTTTTCACTGTTTAACAGTACTGCACTGAACATCGGTCCATTTCTCTCAGGCATGTGTGGGTCTTCAGATACCTCAAAAGTAGAACTGCTGAGTCAAAAGACATTTGCATTTAACATTTTGGAAGATGTTGATAAATTGCCCCCCACCCACAAAAGCTGTATTTATGCTGTGAAACATTTTAACAATGATTTTGCAATTAATATTTTTACTGGTTTTTCTTTGGCTCTATGACTCAATTTTTAAAAATGAGAAATTAAAATACTGAAATACTGTCATTTGTCCAGAGCTACCTGACCAGAATAAGAAACACAGGCAGAGTCAACTGAAAGACTCTTAGGACAAGCCACTGCTTTATTTAAACTGCTAAACTATTTCTCAAACTCCCGGCCTCAAACTATCCTCCCTCCCTCCTCAGCCCTGTTGCTGAGATTACAGGCATGAGCCACAGTGCCCGGCCTAAACTGCTAAACTATTTCTCTCAAGTTACTGCAGTAACCAAATAAGTAACCCACTGTGTGAAAATGAGGAGGTTCTTTCCCATTTTGATACACTCTTTCCTAAATGGAAGTATGTGGTAGTTTTTTGGTTTGTTTTATTCTGGGGAGGGTCTTTTCTAGCAGAGATTATATATCAATCTTACAGAAGCTGCAGCCAACAGTTTTGGAAAAGCAAGTCGTTCAATAAGGTGTAGCGAAAGGAGAAATGTGTGGCCCAGATACTAGCCACTGGGAGACAGGTATTTGGAAAGGCAGAATGAATTCTGAGGATTTGCCTTAAATGGAATAAAGTTCACCAGTTCCTTGCTGGAGATGATACTTTATGGCAAAGGACATACTCCAAATGTGCTTATAAATGAAATTGTATTTATATGCTTAAAGTGAAATTAAGCTTAGTTCCTTAGAATTACATAGAATCTCTCAATAGAGGCTTTACCATATTTTGTTAGCTTTTGCTTTCTGGGTTTTTTTTCTCCTCTTCACAGGTGTTGACTGTACCCTAGTTTTGTTTATTGGGTTTCCATCAGAGCTTATTTTATAAAGTGATCTGAGCATAACCAAGTAAGAGAATACAAAGCCCTAAAATAAAATAAGGATCTGTTGAGTGTGAGAGAGTGCTCCTAAAGATAAAGAAAAACAAGATGCTCAGTTGCCACAGCCTCAGGTGCCACTTGCAATCCCTGGAAGAGATGAAGAGTAAAAACTTGGAGGCTGCTCAGAGCAAAGATATTGCAGCTCCCCCACCCCTACACCCCAAGCCCCACTTCCCCAGGCCTCGCTCTGCCATCTGGAATCAGCCTGGCTGGGGCTTGGACACAGGAAATGGGGCTAGGCACACTTAGGCTCAGAAGCAGAGAGGCTGACCAGAGAGCCTCTTTTCAGGGAGGGACAGAATAAGGCATAGCACTAGTGTAGGGTCCTAGCACATTAGAGGCAAACGGGCTCTAAGGGCTACTGTAGTCTAATCTGTGCATTTGTACAGAGTAGTGGACAGAGGCCCGCAGGGATTCGGAGGCTTGCTCAAGGACAAATGGCAGTATCAAAACACGCCAGCAGCGCCAGGCTCACAGTGGGTGCAAAAAAGATGTGAGCTCCTTCCCCTTCCCTTAAGGACAGCAACAAAGAGGCTGGAAAGCTTCCTCATTGCCCCTCACTTCCAGGCCTGGGTTCTCCTGCTATGGCTACAATTTTTGCTATGCAGGGATAGCCAGTACAGTCTGCCATCACTGAGGTTCTTCTCTGGCTTTCTCCTTTGATTTACTTAGAACATTTCTGAACTGAGTCAAACCAAACCAAACAAAAATGCTCCCAGTCATATAGAAAGTTATAGGCCATCTGATTCTAAAGGGCTGGTAATCAATGAAATAATAGAAGCTGCTTAGGACGGTAGCCTGATCTTCTGGAAGTAGGAGCAAGATGCAATATGCTACACACGACTATAACTTTTGAAAAATGGGTTGCCCTTATTATGAATGAAACTTATATTATTGAAACAAAATAAATAAGAAAACAAAAATCTATAATCCTACCAGTCAGCAAGACTATTACCATATTATGTGCCCTAAGGCCAGTTTCTATATAACATGTAATATATATAGATACAGATATATATAGATTTTAAAAATTGAGGTGAGATTCATATAACAAAATTAACCTTTTAAAGTGAACAGTTCAGTGGCATTTAGTACATTCAAAATGTTCTGCGACCATCACCTCTATCTAGTTCCAATACGATTTCATCACCTAAAAAGGCATCCCTGTACCCATTGTTTTCTTCTCCACTGGCCCTTGGCAACCACCAATCTACATTGTCTCTATGGATTTATCTATTCCAGATATTTCATGTAAATGGAGTCATACAATATGTGACATTTTGTGTCTGGCTTCTTTTACTTCATGTAATATTTTCACAGTTCATTCACATTTATCATGTATCAGTACTTCAATCTTTTTTTTCTTTTGTAAACAGATTCT